CAGGTCACAAGTTTTCATTTTTCACTTCATGATCAGAGGGATATTTCATTATTTCCTGATTTCATTTTGCAAGGTCTTGCTGGATTATTTTGTGAAGGTTAGGCTGGTCCTAATTTCATAGAGTAATTCGCTACATTAGTTTACTTACTTTTAAAGTAATTTCAAATAATGTGTGCTTAGGACTTTAAATAGGTTATTAGCTAAATTAGACAACCTCTAAATTGTAGACTAAACTGTTTACTTATTTGCTAATGGACAAGTGATATTATCCAATGAATTTGAACAGCAAAGCTCTTGTGTTGCAGTCCTATGGTGTTATCCTTTCTAGATTTACAGCCAATCCTTTATTTTTCTTTCGGGACTAATTAGTCCCGAAGGGGGGAATTATGTAGTATCTAAGAGTTGGGGGTTTGTCTCAGGAATGCACAGATGTGAGGCCTCTGATTTTTAGCTTCAGAGCTCGGCACATATTACCATATTTGGAATGGGAATGCCTAAGGCATACCGTGAAAAAAATAATGAGGCCTCTGTTGAACTACACTGTGAAACCCATAAAAGAGCCTTGTATGCCCCTGTTCTTCACCTTTGTTTCTCCATCTTTCTTATTTGGTGGTTCATTTGGCTTGGAGGCCACAATTTGGTTTTTTTAGGCTGTATCTCCTGAGCTGCAAAAATAAAGGTTCTTGCTGTTCAAACCAGCCTTGTTTTCAGAGTCATTTTTCATCGAGCAAACAAGCAGTTCAACTTCAACCAGAAGAAGTGGTTTTCTACACCTCAAAAGCAGTTCTGATTTCCATGACACGAACAAGAAATTTTAATATTTTTGTGTTTTTTGGCATATTGTTTTTAGCCTCTCACCCAATATGGATACTTTTAAAATTGCATCCTTGAATGTTAATGGGGCTAGAGAGGCAGTAAAGCATGCACAGATTTATCAAACAATAAACCAGAACAGAATTGATGTACTGTATTTGCAGGAGACTCATAGTGATATGACAAATGAAGCAGACTGGTACAAGGAGTGGAAGGGGGGAATTGTTTTAAGTCATGGCTCCTCCCAGACTGCGGGAGTGGGATTCCTCTTTTCAAGAGCTTTTACTCCTGAATCATTAGAAATACAACATCTCATTCCGGGAAGGTGTCTTTTGGTCAGGGCTGCTTTTGATCACTTTTACATGACTTTTATCAATATCTATGCTCCAGTTATCAATGCAGATAAAAGACGGTTTTTAGAAGAAATTGGGGAGAAGTTGGGTGATTGTGGGTCTGAGAAAATTTTTTTTATAGTTGGGGACTTCAATTGTACTGAAGACGATTCTTTAGATCGCAATCATGCAGAGCCGCATGTAGCTGCTCATCACACTCTGCGGCAGCTGGTCTCATCTCATGGCCTGGTGGATGTATGGAGGAGGATGCACGCAGGCTMCAGGCAGTATACATGGTCCCACATTAAAGAAAACCACATTTCTTTTTCTCGTCTTGACCGTTTTTTTTTGTTTGTTTTAAACAGCATTTTAACGTGTTTAGAATGTGTAAGATTTTACCAGCAAGTTTTACAGATCATTCATTGGTTTTAGGTAGTGTTTTTATTAGAAACATTTTACCTAAATGTGCTTATTGGAATTTTAATCTAAGACCGTACTTTTAAGAAGACTCTGAATTATTTTTGGACTGGTTTCAGGCAGAGAAAGAGTGATTTCAACTGTCTGCAACAGTGGTGGGACTATGGTTAAATGTTGTCAGCAGCACACTCTCAACGTTACTCATGATATTACCAGGTCTATTATAGATCTGTGTGCAGTTAGAACAACTGAGTGAAACCGCAGGAAAGTGAGAGCGTATTGATGCTCTCAGATCTAAAATGCTAGTCCTAGTAAACCTGCTGGAAACCAAAGTACAGGGTGCATTATTCAGGTCCCGAGTTCAAAACATCAAGGAAATGGATGCTCATTCCAGCTTTTTCTTTAATCTGGAGAGAAAATGTGGGCAGAGGAAATTAATCGACTCTGTATTATCAGACACAGGGCAACAACTGAGTGAACTGGGTCAGATCAGGAGGAGGGCTGTGGGGTTTTATTCCTTCTTATTCAGGAGTGAATACAAGAGAAACGAAGAGCTGTTAAGGGAGTTCAGTGATGAACTACCCAAAGTTTCTGAGGAAACAAGACGTCAGCTAGAGCGCCCCCTGGGGCTGCAGGAACTCCTCTCAGCCCTCCAGAGCATGCAGGGTCAGAAATCCCCTGGCATTGATGGGCTCACGGTAGAGTTCTATAAAGTCTACTGGGACATTATAGCAAAAGACATGCTGGATGTCTATAATGAGAGCCTGACCTCCGGTTTGCTCCCACTGTCTTGCCGCAGAGCAGTCATCACCCTTCTTCCAAAGAAGGGTAATTTGCAAGACCTCAAAAACTGGCATCCTGTGTCTCTCCTCTGCACAGCTTATAAAATCCCTTCCAAAGCCCTGGCGAACAGGATGAGAGAAGCAATGGAACAGGTCATCCACCGGGACCAGACTTATTGCATCCCCAGCTGGTCTATGGTAGATAACATCTACCTAATTCGATATGTTTTGGAAGTCTTCAGTTCATTAGGTTTGGAAACAGCTGTGATCGCACTAGATCAAGAAAAGGCATTTGACTGTGTAAAAAGTAATTTTACACTAATTAGTTTTATTTTACACTAATATTGTTTTTAATGTTGTAAAGTGTCCTTGGGTGTCTTGAAAGGCGCTAACAAATAAAATGCATTATTATTATTATACAAGTTCAGCCCATTTAATCATTTTATTGAAGACAAAAAAACTTATAAAAACAAAACAGGGTCAGAAATGGTCAAACTAAATCCTTTGGGTTAAAGTGAAAAAAAAAACTTTCTTATCATTTGTTAAGGCTTCTGATATTTGCACATAGGAAGGAATAAGATATGAGTTGGTCACCCAAAAGTTAACTAACTAACTAACTAACTAACTAACTAACTAACTAACTAACTAACTAACTAACTAACTAACTAACT